CCTTCTTGTATTACAAATTAATGATGTTTGGTGTTCTATTATTAGTGCATAGATCCTGTCTATTAATTTTCCAATATAAAACCCTTAGGGGGTGTTTGGTTGGGGGAATCTTTCCCCTCTAAAATTCTCTAAACTTTCGTTTTATAGGGTTATTTATGTATTTTCATACATTAATATTACAACAAAATAAGGGTAAAAGTGACATTAACTTTTACTTTCCTTTATACAATTCCCAACTCATAAAATTTTCTTCACACCTTTTTTTGCAAGGAAAAAATTTCCCTATAATTATCTCTATATGAGACTCATTTAATAAATTTTTCTACTAACTTTTCTTATATCAATTTCTTACTAAATACAACAAAGTTAATAACCTATCAAAATTCTAACAAACCTTCATTGTAAAATTTAGTAATTTTTCGTATAATACTTTCCTAATCACTTTTCCAATAAAAACTTTCTTGATAAAATAGTGCTCTAACCAAACAAGCCCATAATTGTAATCATAAAGTAATAAATTTATTTAATTTGCTAGTAGTTCATTAGTCTAGTCTGTAGATGAAAGTTCATTTAGTTTATGTTTCATTCATTTTATTTTGGATCTTTAAGCTTTTAGTTTAGGTGATGTTTTAAAGTTGTTAGAGTTTTCCAAGGTAGATTACTAACCTATTTTACAAGAAAGCATCCCTCTCTCGTACAAATTGTTTGAAGGCACAGAACTCGACTTTATAACTAATGTTCTTCCAGCCATGGGTTGTTGGGAAAATCTAACTTGCTTACTTAAGAACAAAGGGGCATGTCCCAGACTTAGGTCTGCCTCACAAGTGCTACCTTAAGATTTTTGAGAAATCAATTTCTTAGAAAACAAGGAAAATGTTTACTATAATTAATTGAGATTTTGTTGTGGTTCATTGATTTTTTCGATTTAATTAAAGATAATTTATTTATTTTGTTTCATTTTTTTATATAAGATTTGGTTTATTTGAGTATAAAAAAAAATTAACGATGGATATTAATTGTAAAATAAATAAGAACAAAATTTTTATTTGGCTTAATTATAATGGAAGGCATTTTTGTTCATGCAAACAAATATTTATATCTAATATAAGAATAATGATAAAAGGAATGAATTTTATAAGACCAAAATTTGAGATTAATGATATAGTATGAGTTACATCATTTAGAATATTAACAGGTAAATCTTATATTATTTAATGATTGGTGTCTCTTTTTATGTTATTAAAATTTGTAATATTATATATATCAGCTCATACATGTTAATGTCCTAGATTTTGGTCCCAATTCTTTCCCTCTACATCACTAATAATATAAACTTATCTCTATAGTCAACCAAACATGCAATTGGATATAAACATATCTCATCTTATCTAATCTAAATCCAATCCTACACTGTGAAACTAATTCAATCCAATCTCATGTTGAACTTAGGATTGGAATGGATAGGATAAGATTCAAAAGATAGGATGAGATATATTTGAATCTACTAACATATTTGGTTGATTATTGGATTAAAATATGATTAGTTAAAAATATTTTCCGTGTGGAGCAAAAGACCTCTATTATTACAATTCAATTTATCTATTTTTTTTAAAGAAAAGATATTTTTACACAAAGCAATACAAAAAATCCTCTCGCCGACGGCTGCTAGGGTTCCCCTGTCTCCCGTTCTGTGCAAGTTCCTTGCCTTGGCGTTTCCTCCCTGTCACAGGGCCTCTTCCTCCTTCTCCTTTTTGTATTTGATTTCATTGCCGATGTTATGGCCTCAACAAAGATTTTGGCTTGGAATTGCAAAGGGTTAGGCAACTCGATAACACTCATTGAATTAAAAAAAACTCCTTCAAATTCACACACCACAGCTTTTATTCCTCTCCGAGACTAAACGAACTGTGACAGAGATGGATCGAATTCGACTGGAATTAGGTTTCTCAAATTGTTTTGTAGTGGGCAGTAATGGTCATAGCAGGGGTTTGGCAGTGTTATGGAATGCGGAAGTGCAAATCCAACTTTTCTCGTACTCTCTTTCTCATATAGACATGGAAATCCAAGATTTGATAGACGTTCTTTGGTGAGTGATTGGGTTCTATGGGCAACTAGATGTTAGTTGATGACACGAATCCTAGGCACTTCTCAAATCGCTAAAATCATCTTCCTCTTTACCCTAGATTTGTGTTGGTGATTTTAATGAAATAGTGAAGCAAGTAGAAAAGTTGGGTGGGAATTCCAAATTTGAACGCCAAATAGAATCCCTTTGTGAAGCCAAAGAATATTGTTTTTCTGGTTAGGCTTTAAAGGATCTCAATTCACCTTTGTTCGAAAGCAGCAAGGCAGCTTATTGAGAGAAAGACTTGATAGAGTGCTTATGAATTGTGCATGGGCAGAACAGTTTCCAGGATCTATCTCCCATCACCTTCCAACCATCCAGTCTGATCATTCAGCTATTCTATTGAGCGCACAATGTAACTTGCCGAGGATTGGTATGAAAGGAATGAGGCAATTTCGGTTTGAGAACTACTAGCTCTGGGATAAAGAGTGTGAGGCAATTGTGAAAGAAGCATGGCAGTAGGGAGTGGGTACCTTAGTAATGGACAGTGTACTTGGCAAAATGAACTGATGTAGAGAGCTACTATTGGATTGGAATGCTCATAAATATGGGAATATACCTGAACGAATTAAGAAGTTGCAGTTCGATCTGCAACAAGTGCAGGATGGTAGTGCTAGTGATTGTAGTCTAGAGCATTTAGAAGCAGTGGAGAAGGAATTACGGGATTTGCAAAAACAAGAAGAGGTTTATTGGAAATAGAGATCTAGTGTTTAGTGGCTTAAGGAGGGAGACAAAAACACATCTTTCTTTCACACAAGAGCCTCTGAAAGGAGAAAAAAGAATTTCATTTCAGAATTGCAGTCTGTAGATGGGCAAATAGTGCGAGACCAAGTGGGATGGAACAGCTTGCGTTAACCTATTTCCAAGGTCTCTTTTCCTTGGAAGCTAAAGCAGATCCCTCCCATATATTGAGGATGATTTGGAAAAAGGTTTCCTAGGCTGAGGCTATGGCGATGGATAGGAGATACACTGTAGAGGAAGTTCTGTCAGCTTTGAAACAAATTCACTCTTCTAAAGCCCCTGGTCTTGATGGGATGAATGTTAGTTTTTTCAAGCACTATTGGCCAATTATTGGGGATGACATCACAAAGGTAGTGTTGGAATTTTTGAATGAGGGGATTATGACTAAGGGAGTGAATAGGACCCATATTGTCCTAATTCCGAAGACAAAGAATCCAAATGCCATGAAGGACTTTCGGCCAATTAGCCTTTGCAATGTGATTTGCAAACTCATTTCGAAGATTTTGACCAACCATTTAAAACCTCTGTTGCCGAGTATCATCTCGAAGAATCAAGGTGCTTTTGTCCTTGGTCGACTAATATACGACAATGTTATGGTTGCCTTTGAGATGGTCCATCATCTAAAAAACAAGCGCTAGGGCACTAAGGGAGACATGGCCATTAAGCTAGACTTGAGTAAAGCTTTTGATAGGGTGGAATGGGATTTTTTACAAGGGGTGATGCAAGCTATAGGACTCCTTTCGACATGGGTCGACCGTGTAATGCTTGTGTTTGTATTGTAGAATATTCTATCTTGGTCAATGGCTCAATAACTAGGGAGTTTACTCCATCGAGAGGAATTCGACAGGGAGATCCTTTATCTCCTTTTCTATTTCTTTTTTGTGTTGAGGGGCTCTCTTCGCTGTTGGCGGATGGGTTGTAAAAAGGAGACCTAAAGGGGGCTGCAGTTTGTTGGGGTGGTCCAAAAATCTCTCATTTATTTTTGGTTGATGATAGCTTGCTTTTTGGTGTGGCGAATGAGAGGGAAGCTACTCATCTTGTAAATATTTTGCAGCAATATGGCGTAGTTTCAGGACATTAAATAAACCTGAATAAATTCTTTATTTTTTTCCAGCTATAATGCTCCCAATAATGTGAAGACTAGGATTATGGAGATCTTGAACATCTCATAAGTTCTGGCTAATGATAAATATTTGGGTATGCCTCTCCTAATAGGCCGCAACAAGAGCATTTGTTTTACTTCTATTCAAGATCGTATTTGGTCAAAGATAAAGGGAGGGAAGAATGAATTGTTATCTAAGGCAAGAAGGGAAGTGTTGATTAAAGCTGTGGTGCAGGCTATTCCCACTTACTGTATTGGTTGTTTTCATTTACCACATTTTCTACAATCTCTAAACAGCATCATTAGTAACTTTTGGTGGGGTGACAATTCTGATAAGAGGAAAATTCACTAGTTAAGATGGGATCTAGTGTGTCGACCAAAGAGCTTAGGCGGATTAGGATTTTGGGATTTTCAGGCTTTTAATCTGGCTATGCTTGCGAAACAAAGTTGGCCACTTATGCAAGACCACTCCTCTTTATGTTATCAAGTTCTTAGAGCCAAATACTTTAAGAATGATGACTTGCTTGGAGAATGAATTAGGGACAAACCCATCTATGGTGTGGAGAGGTGTCATGGTTGGCCTTATCGTGTTAAAAAAAGGCTCACGCTGGCGGATTGGAGATGGAGCTTCTATGCGTATCTAGAGGGACTAGTGGATTCCCGATACGGAAGGGCTTTTGAATATTAATGCGGACAGATCTCTTGCAGAAGACGCCAAAGTAAGCTCACTATTTGATTAGCATGCTTTCCAGTGGGATTTACTAAAACTTCAGTAGGTGTTTTCAAGTGACACTATAGAGAAAATTACACATATTCCATTGAATAGGCAATGTAGGCATGACCATTTAATTTGGCAGCATACAACAAATGACAAATTTACAGTGAAATCGACATATAGATATGCGTGGGATGCTGTTTATGGGTTGAACTTCAATGATTTGGATGATCTTATGAAGCCGGTGTGGAAACCTGTGTGGCTTATGGATATATTGCCAAAAATTAAGCATTTTCTTTGGAAATTCATTTGGGAAATCTTACCAACTCGACTGGCTTTGTAGGGTCATAGAGTGGAAGTTGAAAGCTCTTGTTGCATTTGTGATGAGGCTGAGGAATCAATGCACCACTTATTTTTTAGCTGTCACTGGAGTACACGAGTTTGGACAGGTTCTTGCCCTTTCTTCAACCTCAGAAACATCAGAGCTGACTCTTACTTAGACAATTTCTTGAATTCTTTTTTGGTGCTCAGCAGCAAAGAGAGGGAACGTGTTGCCATCACACTCTGGAGTATATGGAACAATAGGAACAATTGTTTGTTTCAGCATAGATGCTCACAACCCGGATTTACTATCAATTGGATCTCAAAATACATAAAGGAATACGCCTCAGCCACTATAGTTGATAATTAGATCAGGTTGATGAAAGACACTGTCTCATCAGATGTTTGGCAACCACCGAGGGGGATATAGTTAAAATCAATGCTGATGTTGTTGTTCCACAAAACCAAAACTCAGTTAGTCTGGGAGTAGTCTTGGAGTAGTCCTTTGGCAACGAGATTGTCAAGTATTAGGGGTTGCCTTGTGCATTAGCTCTTTTACGGGGGTGGTTCTCCAGGCCGAGGTCATGGCAATTGATTTTGCACTGTAGGTGGGCAAGGAATTTGGGTGTAAAAAACTTGAAGTTGAATCTAATAACATGCAGGTAGTAGCTATTGCCAATCTGTTGATGATTGTTATCTTCCTTTTGGTGCTATTGTTGAAGGCCCCCGCAGTCAGAAATTTGGTTTCGATTCTCTTTGTATCAGGTATGTTAAGAGAAGTTGCAATAGTTTGGCTCACAAATTAGCACATTTGTTCTCACCTACTCCACCTTGGGAGGGGGTATGGGTTGATTCTTTACCCACTGCTTTCTGCGATGATTCTGCTTCTTGAGCAATAATATATTCCATTTATCATAAAAAAAAAATCTAATTTTTTTATATGCAATTTAATTTATTTGTTTCTTACTTTATTTATTTATTTATTTTTGCCGAATTTAATTTCTTGCAATTTTCTCAGTCATGCTTCAGGTGCTCTGCCTTGGTGCAACACTGAGGAACTTCTTGAAAAAACCAAGTGTCAAGCAATTTTATGGACGTCGGCGTGAAATGGATTTTGAATTTTTATAGTCCTTGTATTTCAGGTTTAGTCGGTGATCTTCTTTGCGTTGAGCCTTTCCCTCTTCTCATGTTATGAATGTTGTACTTGCAGGACCCAGTGTTCTTCTTTTGCTTGGATCTCTATTCTGGACAGCTGCTGCAGAAATGATATCAGTTCCTGGCTGCTGAATGCTTCGTCAATGAACTGTTGTTGTTGTCGTCCTCGTCGTTGTTTTTTTTTTTTTTTTTTTTTTTTTTTTTTTTTTTTGTTTTGAATTAAAGCAAGTTTTACCGCACTAATATGACATGACTCATGGTAACTCAGTAAAGACATTCATATAATAGCACTTCCTACATATAGGATGGCTTTAGATCATATGAGTAAGATGTCTTTAGAGATGAAACGAATTGTTTGATTTTGTGCCATTCTGTACTAACTTTCTCCTCCTCCGCTTCTGCAGCTTTCATCCTTGCTTCATACTCTGGCCACTGTTCTTCTAACGCATCAAGTTCAGCTTTCAGGTCCTTGGAAAGTTTAAACATTTCTTTCTGCTTGGATGAGAAATTGTCTTTCTTCTTCTGTGCCTCCCCAATTTGGGCAAGAAGGTCGTTAAGTTGCGACTGAAGGGTGACAATGCTCCGTTCCTGCTGTTCGGTCTCTTCCTTAGCCTTGTTAAACTCAGTTAGACACCTCTCCAGTTTGCGACCAAGTGTCAACTTGACAAATTCCCTGTGTGTACACATATTCTTGTCCTTTTTTGCCCTTGCTGCTCTCTCATGCAAGGCATTAAATTTTTCCTTCATAGTTAGTAATTCTGCTTTTTGTTCAACTGTAAGTATACAGTAATCATCAAGGGAAGATAAAACATCAAATGCATTTTTTATGTTAGAAATTCTCCCTGGATCATTTAGGTCAGTTGGATAGGCGTTCTCTATCATTGACAGAGCTTCTTCTACTTCTTCTCTTGATGAAGTATGTTTACTACTAGAAATCCCAGACTCCAAATTTACGAAGAATGCATTCATTTTTTCTTGAGTTGGGTCTTCTTTAGCCACAATACTGGTATCTTTGCTTGAGCTAGCAACATCCCCAAATACTGTAACATCAGTCTCAATTATGCATGTGTCTCCCGTCAAATAACCCTTCCAATAATCGTGCAATTCCTTAAGAGGGATGAATCTAGAGAAACCCCAAGCAGATTCCTGTGCATTAAATTTATGCTCTGAAGCTGCAGAGAAACAATACGGCCCATCATCAACAGCCTTTCGAACAAAATGTATGTAAAAAGATTGACATGAATTGTTTAATTCTTGAAACAGATAAGGATTTGATGTTTATGTTTAGGAAGTAATTTTGCTAAAGGTAACAATAGATAGTTGGTCATAATTTATGGGAAAAGAGAAATCAAGATATCCTATCATTTGATGTCAAATAATAACTATATAATAAATTTGATAAAGTTAAGACCTACACTATGTCCAATATATTTAATGGTTAGTATTAGGTTTAATATCAGAACATTCTAATTTTCTCTTTTCTCTTAACTTGTAAGAGTGGTACTACTAGAAATGGGTGTGTTGGTGCCTTGACCCTCAACAAGTACTAGATTGGTTAGAAGTATGAGATTTTATTTTAAGTTTTGTTTAGAAGTGCTATGTTGTGTGCACTATAGATTTACCTATAGGTCTTTTTGAGGTTGTTTGGCTAAGCTTTTTGTCAAATAGATTTTAAACTAAAATTCAAAGTTTTTGTCTCTATGAGTTTGAAATTTGTTGAAGGGAAACGTAATTTTCAGCAAAAATGTAGTTTTTAAGCAAGTTTTGGTAAAACCTCCAAATCCTTGCTTTTGAAAACACTTGCTTAAAGCTATTCTTTTGCTAAAAAATCATTTTTCTTTTCAATAGCTTTTAAATTCGAAGAAACAAAAATTTTGATCCTTTAGCTTAAAAGCTATTTGACAAAAAACTTAGCCAAACAACCTTTTTATCTTTTACTATTTTAAAAATATATAAAATATTAATTAAATTAATAAAAAAATATATAAAAAATTTATTAAGATTAAGTAAAATAATAAATTTATTTTTTTACATAAGTTAAATATGTGAAAGATCAGTGTGAAGTATTGTTAAACGGAACTTTAAAGATCTTAAGTTTAAATATTGATTTAAAGGAAATTGGAAAAAGGATAAATAATTATTTCCTCTTGTATGGTTCATTATCAATTAACTTATAGGAGTGGCATTGTAGTTGTAAATGCATGCCATATGTAATTGATAATTTCTTATCAATTTAGTGACCAAAGTGAAATAGAATTTTGCATTTTCAAATGATGCTCTCAGTTCTATTATTTTAAGCAACAACTAAAGCAACACAAATTTCACATTCATGGTAAGAGCAAAACCATCATGAAGATGAATGGGAGAGTAGCAATATCAATGACACTACTTTCATTCCATGGTCCTAAATGCAAGATGGCTAATTAAGCAAAAATTTCAACTCGATAGTATCTGCATAATTACATAATGCATATACAAGATGAAAATAATAACTAATCCAGAGTACATTGTACTCTACCTCTTAGTTAGGATTAGGTTAGGTTCTCTCCCGGGGGTTTCTTTTCTCCCATCAAGAGCCTTCTTCTTCTCCTTCTTCTCATCTCTTAACGATTCAACCCCCTTAGTCACACAAATCAAGTAGCCAACATTTTTCTGGAAATATTTTTCTATGTATTTTAAGCTTTTGGAATTTGATAGGAAATTCAAGAAGGTGTAGGTATTCTATGTGCATTGTTGTTGAGATGTTACTTATTTTCAGTATGTAAAGGGTAGGAGTACTCCTTGTACTCCAATTAATAAAAATTATATTGCTGATCCAAAAAAAAAAAAAAAAAGGCAGTCAACATCTCACCCTTCCTGAAGTAGTGCTACCTTAGTTTTGTTGTTGACCCTTGTCACCGTACCCCTAAGCCGAACAACTAGAACCTCATAGAAAGCAACCTTCCAACCTTAAGCAACACAACTAGATCCTTATTGACAACAACATTCCAGGCTTGATTCCTCTTAAACGCGATCATCTCTTAAACCCCTAGTGATGTTCAACCATGAAGGAAATCACAGCCATGCATATGGAATAGCAGGCTAGGAGATGAATTACTTGGTTCCCTCCTAGGTTGAATTCTATTGTTATAGTAGGAAAAAATGGAGCTATCCTTGGAAAACACCTTGAATAACTCATGGGTTGCAACTAAATCGTTTTGTTGGATTGGGAAAATCCACAACCACAAGAGAGTTAATCTCAAAACCTACAGAATGAAATTACTTCCTCACGGAAAATCAGTTCTAGAATGTAAGTCAATGAATTAGGTGTGAGAATTATTCTATTCTAGTTATTGAATAGCTATGATCTCAACAAAATATTGCAGAAGTCACCCTAGAACTTTGATTGTTCCCTGATCATCTTGTGACGATTTGAGAAGTCCTTAGCCCTAGAAAATTATGATTTCTCAGCAACACCTTTGTGGGTGCAATTTTATGGGACTTCCCTGTGGACTTTAGGGTGGGACAGTAGAGTACCAAATTGGAGGTAGCATGGGAAAGGTTCTTGAAGTTGATGAATCTTTCACTAGAGCTTTATGAGTCTAAATTCAATTGGAGGTGACTAGTCCGTTGAGGCACTTTAAGAATGTCAAAGTTTCAACCACATATAGTAGGAAGATCCAAATGAAGTATGAAAGACTTCCAAAGTTTTGCTTTGTTTTTGGTTTAGATTGTGCAATTAGTTTTTGACTGAAGGAAGTTGGAGAAAAGGTGTCTCACCCCTACGGAACATGGCTATAGGCAAAGAACGATTACTGGGGTGTGGAGACCTTTGAGGAATTGGTCCTTTCTAACTGTAAATTGATGTCCCTGAAAGTAGGCATCGAAATTAATTTTGACCAAAAATTAGCCTCATCACTGATAGGGGAGTCATCAAGTTGGGAACATAGCTGCATAGAGGCCGATTTGGCTAAAAGATAATTGTTTCAAGATACCCAGCTGGTTCAGAAAGAGCAGAAGGTTTCTAGTAAAGAAGTAGTGGTTTTGAGTAAAAGAGTTGAGGTGACCAGTGGCTCCTTAGGACACCAAGAATCGGCCTCCATCCTTGGGGATGTGCCCCTTGGTCAGCTAGCTAAACTATCAAAACAGAAGGATTCTACTCCTCAAAAGACATGGAAAAGAATTGGTAGTAATCAAGTTCTATTATTGAGCAAAAAAGAGAGGAAATGGAAAAGAAAGTTGGCTTTTGATACACTTAATGATAGTAGGGCATCCAAATTGAGGCATAATGATTCTGGTAATACATATGCCTTGCAAGTGGAAGTTCTTCATTCATCTGCATATTAAAAGACCATTTTGAGCATGGACATAGCATTGTAGTGTTTGGAGACACTGAATCGCTAGGTCCTTTGATCTCCTATGCTAAGTTAAGATGGTAAAATAGATGTGATTACCAGTAATGATAATAAGCTCAAAAGTAATATCTTTCTATGTCTTTATGTAATTCTATTGATATCCGTATGATGTATATTAATATTTAGAGGTTTTCAGTACTTAATTGTTTTATCTATCATGAGCAATAACTTTTTATGTTAGTGTCATAGGTTCTTTTTAGCGTATATGAGAACGTTTAGTTTGTATTAAAAGAAATTGAAAATAACTAACACTGACTCACTTTTAATGTTGAAAACAATTTCAACCATATAATTAAAAGTTCATAAAAAATTCATCAACTGAAAATAAATAAAAAGTTAAAGGATTAACATTAGTTATATCAGGTTAACGCAGAACAAAAGAAAAGAAAAGAAAAGAAAGGCATACAGTAACATTAAGACTTCAATTTAGGCAGTAAAATTGCTAAGGATTAAAAAAAAAAAAAAATTGCTTATAAGAGGTTCAAAGCAGCTATAATAAATATATATACCTTTTCTAAAAGATGATTTGCCATCAAATTGGTTGACGAGAGTGACGGAGAATTTTGCATTTCGATTCCAACCAGACGGCAAAGTCGCTGAATCTGCAACGTCTAGATAAATTGACAAATGATCCACATTGTTGCCTCTGGGGAAGAGAAGTACCCGCCTGCAGAAATAATATATCAATTTAATGCAAAAGATATGAATGTTCTATATGTGCGTGCCTTGAAAGAAAACAAAATTATGGTGTATGCGTTTGGTATACAAATGAATTAGAATTCATTTCAATTCTTTTTTTTTTTTTTTTTT